TGGGAGTATTAAATGCAGTCTTCCACTCATCTCCTTGGCGGATGCAGACCAGATGATAGGCATTGCGGAGGTTCAGTTTGGTAAAAATGTTTGCTTGATGAAGGGCTCGAACGCAGAGTCAATGAGTGGTAGGGGATATTTATTTTTTATAGTAATGTCATTTAATCCACGATAGACAACGCATGGTCATAAAGTTTTATCCTTCTTATCCACAAAGAAAAATCCAGCCCCTTCTGGGGATGAGGAGGGCTGAATTAACCCAGCTGCCAGAGAGTCTTTAATGTACTGTTCCATAGTTTCTCTCAGGATGGGTAAGTTTATACAAAGGACTAGAAGGCAAAGGAGCTCCAGGGAGTAAGTCTATAGCACAATCATAGGGGCGGTGAGGAGGAAGGGACAGAGCTTTCTCTTTACTGAATACTTGAGCCAAATCATGATACATGGTAGAAACAGAGGTCAAATCAGGAGGACTAGGTGGAGTGGAGTTAGAACTTTTACTCACAGTGATGGCTGACTTAAGGCAATGGGAGTGACAGTGAACACTTCAGCTGTTAACCTTATTGGCTGACCAGTATATTTGTGGGTTGTGCAGCTTTAGCCAAGGTAGACCCAAAACCACTGGAGCTTGAGGAGATGGAATGACCAATAACTGTATTTCCTCTCTGTGATTGCCAGAAAGAATAAGGGTGACAGGCATGGTGCGGTGAGTGATTTTGGCTAGGTGGCTTCCATTCAGTGCATTGACCTCTCTGGGAAACTCTAATCGTTCGGTAGGAATATTAGCTTGGAGAACAAGGTTGGAATCAATAAAATTATTGTCAGCCCCAGAATCAACAAAACTATGGAATGAGAGTGACTCACGTAACCACAGCAAGGAGGTCTGGAGAAGAAGCCGGTCCAAAAAAAATGGCATTGGAGAGGAAACATGGCTCACTAGGACCCCTCCACTCTCAGGTGCGCCTGGTCTTTTGGCCGAAGGGACAAGCACTTATGTAATGTCCTTCTTGTCCACAGTAAATGCAAAGGCCAGATCTTTGTCGGCGTTGGCGTTCGGCTGGAGTTAGTCAAGCCTGACCTAACTCCATAGGTTTCTCTGTGTCTGAAGGCTTGGAGTGGCTGGAAGGCATAGGAGGAACATTTATTGGCACAGGTGAATGAGCAGGAGGTGAGGAAGCATAGTCAGCACGAAATGTAGACTGACGTGACATAGCCTTTCTCCCTGCATCTTTCTCTGAGTCTGTTATCAAGACGTATAGCCAGAGAGATTAGCTCCTCGAGGTTGTTGGTCTCATCTCTGGCGGCAAGCTCATCTTTAACATTATCTGTGAGTCCTCTTAAAAAACACTCTGTAGGACAGTGTCATCCCAACCACTTTCATGAGCTAAGATTCAGAAATCTCTTACGTATTGAGCAACTGAGGAGGATCTTTGTAGTGCTAACCACCTCTTAGCAGCTTCTTTTCCTTTTAATGGATAAACAGTTCTTTCATTTCATTAGAAAAGGTCAAGAAGGATCAAAAAATGTCAGAATTACTTTCCCATGCCGCTGTTGCCCACTGAGATGCTTTACCTGTTAAAAGTCCAATGTGCATGGGACTACAATACCCATCATGCACCTGTTTTGTAGTTCCGGTATGCTTGGGTACGCCCCAATAAGTTCCGCTCTTGTTGCAGTAGAGCCTCGTGCTCGGCTTGAGCCCCTGTTCCTATTATTTGTGTGTATATGTTCCATGTGCGTTCATGCAGGGTGAGTATTGTTTATAATTGAGTATGAATGCATGTTTATCTGAAATGTTTAGTTGTTAAGTTCATAACGAGTTAATGCTATAGCTATTACACGGTGCGGCGCTCCCTTGGTTTACAGGGGCTCTATGTGCAATTAATTTATCTTGTTGGAGCGCCCTCTTGTGTTTTTTCTGTATAATAGCAGTTATTTTTCCTGTTCATTTCATTTTGTTTGTTTGTTCTCTAATGTATATATCTTGTTGTTTTGTTTTTCAGATAACCACACCCATACGTACACACATACATCACCCATGTATCCATCAATAAACATCATCAAATATCACCTGTTCCCTCCTCTTCAATAAACATCTACCTTTGTATCAGTGGAGTTGCCTGTCCTTCTGACCGAGGACAACTCAGTTGAGGACAAATCAGTAATCAGTGCATTCCGGATGCACATAGTACCTCACATTACCAGTTAATAAACTTATAACAAAAGCAATGTGAGACTTATCTGACGCATAGGTGAGGGGCTGTTGATCGAACACCAGGGAGCACTGGAGGAGAAACTGATCACAGGAGCCAAGATCGCCAGCATATCTCTCAGGAGTGGGAATATGAGGTTCACATTGAGCCAAGGCAGGTGGAGCTGGAGGTGGTGAAGAAGAACTAGGGAGGACATTAGATGGTGGCGGAGCAGCAGCAAACTGGGTGAACGCAGTAGTGAGGTTAGCCAACATGGTCCCAGTTTGGTTCATCTGTGCAGCAAAAGCTTGCTGGTTTCCAACAATTTCCTTAAATTGATTGTTGTGCCTCCCCAATAATTGACCTTGATTGGAGACAGCTTGGAACAAGGAGTTAGGTTCTGCTTGAACCAGAGGACTTGGATCCATCTCGGGCCAGAGGATTGAGTCTGTTGGGTCCAGGTTTTGGCCAGATTGTTCTGTTACGTGCCACAGGAGTGGACCCCAAAAAAGATTCAAACGAGGACGAAAAAATGCAAAAATAACAAAGGTTTATTGACCAGGGAGGATAGGCGGTGGAGGAATCAGGAGCCAGCAACCAGAATGCAGGAGTCTTCAACAGCGGGAACTAGGAAATACAAAAATGCAGGTAAGTATACTGAAAGCGAAGTAGAATCAAAAAAATTAACTGACTGGAAGATCATCATCAGGCGGGAGAGCTGGGCCTTTTAGTAGCAGGCTTGATTGTAGATGGGATGCAGGTGCTCCCAGCAGACTCTGCCCACATCCACACACAGAAGAAAGACTCCAATCACAGGCAGGGGCGTGACACTAGAGTTAGAAAGCACATTTGGATATTTGTTTTACCTAAAGGAGTTTGTGTTTAAAATAAAATACATGCTATTTTCAGTCTTAGTTCAGTATTGGCAGATACTTAAAGCTAAAGTATTGACATGGAACTTGAAAAAGCTGGATCGGTGCATCCATATTCACATTCACACTGTAGGCAGAGGGCTGTTGACCTTGACTGGGAATGGTGGAACAAATACTTTGAGGATCTTCTCAATCCCACTGTCATGTCTTCTGAAGAGGAAGCAGAGTCTTATGCTGCCTTTAGACCGTGGCATCAAAAACACCCTGGATGCCTCTATTTGGATGCCTTTGCATTTGTGTTCAGATGCCTCCAAGAGGGAGAAAAATACCTGACGCGTGTCCAGGGCGTCCACTGCGGTCTGTGAGTGCCTTGTATTTATTGAGACTGACTTTAGTGTCCTTTGGTTCTGGTTCAGTCCTGCTCCGGTCTGAACGGACCATAAGGGCCTGTCTATGCTACACTTGTATTTTGGAATATCTTTTAGAATGCATTAAAAGTGAATGAGGATGAACACTACCCGCACTAGGCTCATGCATGACGCAGCAAGTGTGGTTAGGCCTTAAGGACACAGACGGTGATCCATGTTAAGTATCTTAAGTCTCTAGATTATGTGGGGTTGTTTTGACTGACACTTCTCTGTAACATCACATAATGGTTGGGGACAGTACCTCTGGACTGGCAGACCTGGGTGGTGGTCCCTCTGTTTAAGAAGGGGGACTGGAAGGTGTGTTTCACAGAGGAATCACACTTCTCAACCTCTCCAGTAACATCTGTTTCACTGACTGAAGAGGAGAGACCGACCAATAGTCAAACCTCGGATTCAGGTGGAACAGTGTGGTTTTCAGTTCAGTCATGGAACAGTGGATTCAGCTCTATGTACCCCCATCGAGTGTTCAAGGGTTCACAGGAGTTTTCCCAACCAGTCCACATATGTAGATCTGGAGAAGGCATTTGACCACGTGTTTGTAGTGCCTTTTGGGCGGGTTCCCCTGAGAGTATGGGGTCTGGGGCCTTTGATATGGGCTGTCTGACCTCTGTATGGCCGGAGCAGGAGCTGTGTTCGCATTGCCGGCAACAAGTCAGACCTGTTCTCAGTGCATGCTGGACTCCACCAGGATGCTTTACAGAGCATTATTCAGCATTATTCATTCACTCTATACCTGCTGATGGTAAGCTACTATTGTAGCCACAGCTGCCCTGGGACACATTGACAGAAGCGCGGCTGCCATGCCAATCGGCGCCATCGGTCCCTCCGTCCACCACCACTCACACACAAACAACCCTTTCATACTAGGCAATGTGAATGAAGTATCTTGCCTAAGGACACACAATGATTGAATTGATTGTATTTAATTGACCTTGACTATCAACTGTTCATGGAGACCTATGTAGCATGTTTTGGGTTGACAGGGGCTATAGTGGGTCCAGTTTGGGGACTGCAGGATCTAATCTCGGCTGTTTACAGATGATAGCTTCATTGAAGCAGGTATAAAGCAGTTGGGGGTGAATATCAGCTCCTCCAAATCCAATCACATGGTTCCTGAGTGGACAAAGGTGGCAGAGTTCTGCCTCAAGTATCTCAGGGTCTTGTTCACAAGTGTGGGAAGGATGGAGTGCGACATTGACAGGCAGATCTGGTGTTGTGAAGATGGAGCTGGAAAAGCAGATGATAGACTTTGGCTTATAATGAACATGATCATGAAATAATGATATGCATGTGTAATAGGCTATGATTAAGAAGAATCTGGGTTAGCCTCACTTGGCATCACGTATCAACAGATTTTCAAACAGCAAGTTTTGATATCAATATCACGACTGAAGTTCCTGAATCTGTATCCATCTGAAGAATTCCCCTTGAGATAGACCTGTATAAAAGACCTGCATGGTGTAGTCTCACCCTCCTCTCTGTGTGAATGAGTTCTGTGTAGCTCTGTTTTAATGAAGTCAAATGAAACATTTATTATTTTGGATGGTTTTATGGACTTGGAGAAATACCGAGCACTGTATTTTATCATCATGTTTACAGCTTATGTCCTCATCCTCTGCAGTAACTGCACTATTATCTGTCTCATTTGGATCCACAAAGACCTGCATGAACCAATGTACTTCTTCATTGCTGCTTTGTTACTGAACTCTGTTCTTTTCACCACGGCTCTTTACCCCAAAATACTGACAGATATTTTATCTGAGAAGCAGGTTGTTTCTTATTCCACTTGTCTTTTCCAGTGGTTCACATTTTATGCGATTGGAGGTGCTGAATTCTGGTTACTGATGATGATGGCCTATGATAGATATATGGCTATTTGTAAACCTCTGCAATATCCAACTGTAATGAACAAATCCAAGGTGAATGTGTTGTTAGCAGTAGCTTGGATTGTACCAGCTTGTCAACTTGTAATAGGTATTACGATCGCAAGTCAAAGAAAACTTTGCTATTTTATTTTCCGGGGCATCATTTGTAACAGTATGATTCATAAACTTCACTGTGTTCAATCAGTTGAATTAAACATATGGGGCTTGTATGGCTTGATAATTATCACTTTTGTCCCATTAATCTTTAACAGTTTTACTTATACCAGGATATTTATAATTACCACCAAAAGAGGCCCGAAGGTGAGGAGGAAAGCACTGCAGACTTGTTTGCCTCACATAGTGGTTTTTTTAAACTGTTGTCTGCTGGGGACATTTGATACATTATTGATTCGATTAAACATTGCATTTCCCAGAATAGTGCGTTTTTTCATAAGTTTTCAGCTCATTTTGTATGACCCTCTCTTTAATCCGATCATCTACGGACTAAAAATGAAGAAAATATCAACTCATTTGAAAAGACTGTACTGTAACTGATACGATTCAAATTAACAGGAAGACAACCACACAAAATTCAAGGTTTTGATTTAATATTGGATGGTCTGGAAGTGGAATTTACATTGAAAAATGGATACTGTTTCAATGGTTATGTTATGGTGTACAATTCCTCTTTTGTCAAATATTTGAACCACAGCCAACACATTTCGCTGTAAGCTTAGTACATTTTGGGAGTCTGTTGTATCATGAATATCAATATAATTAGAAACAATTTTTTAACAAGAAGAAATAGATTTAATTAAATATAGTCCTAAAAAATTAAAGGAACACTGAAAACACATCAGATCTCAGTGTGGGAAAAAATATGTTGGACATCTCTACAAACTTCAACTTTTCTTGGCTGACGACATTTGATGTACTATTGGCCCGATTAGAAACAGAATTACCTCAAATGGTTCGTGTTATCATGAGTTTTCATCTCATTTTGTGTCATCCTCTCTTTAATCCCATCATCTATGGACTAAAAATGAAGAAAATATCAACACACTTGAAGAGACTGTTCTGTGCTGGCAAAAACAAGATGGTTCACACGTAATGTATAATATATAATATATATATATATATATATATATATATATATATATAATATATATATATAAGAAATATTATAATAATCATTGTAAGACATTTATTTTCTTGTTAACACTTCTGCCTAAGCTGTAACCTTACACTTGTTCAGATATGTACCTGTATTTCACTTTTGTGGTCCTCACACTGTGGTAAGAAGCTAAAACTCAAGTTCTCTACTCTGACACCAGACAGCAAGTTTTTAACACTGGAGTGTGCAGCAGTGGGTTTCAGAGGACATCACAACACAGCATGTGCTTAAATATGTGTGAAATACAGATTGGTGCAGGGGTAAAATATAGTTAATGAATGTGCTGATGTTTTTCCTTGTTCAAGTGACACCATGGACCTAAAATTATACAAGATAATTTGTATTTATTTTATTTGTATTAACATTTACATTTGTATAATTATGCCTTATTTGATATTTGTTATTTTTCCTGTTTATTTTGAATTTATATGTTTGCTCTTTGTTATTATATTATATTGTGATGTTTGAGCTACTGTGTCCAACTAATTTCCCTTGTGGATCAATAAAGTTTGTATAAGTCTAACTTTAAACATTAATATAAATCATGAGTTTAATTATTCATTCATTTGTAAATTTTCCTTTTTGAATTTGAGCACACAATACAATCAATACAGAAAACCTGCCATTCACCTATGAAAACATCTAAATGTTATGTCACCAGTAATGCCTTTTGTCCTCACTGCTAAAATTTTTTAAAATAACAACAAAGGCAAGGAGTATAGATATACAAATCATTTCTCACACTGTCACACTCATTTGTGACTAGGAGAACCATGTTTGCTTTATTAGACTCCAAACTGAGACATTTCTCTTGGCACCTGTGCAGCATGTGCTATAGAAATACAATAGTAATATGCTACTAATGTGTAATAAGTAAGAGCAATGCGGAATAGGCTAGTTATCAGAAGCTGGTCAGGGAAAGAGTAGGCAGAAATTGGGAACTGCATTTGGTTGGTAGCATATATTAAATAGTAAAGATCCAAAACGTAACATTATGTGTAAGAATGAATGAAGTCACATCATTCATCATAATTCATTTCATTTAACATGACAGGGACATTGAACGCTTCACCATAGGTATTGGCTAGAGTATGAAAAACAGTTTGCTCAACAGAGATAAATGGATTGCCCAGAGGGGAATATTGTAAACACTGAGGTTTTGTCAGTGTTGTGATGAGCTGCTAACAGGTGAAACAGATTTGATAGTATCTCTGAAGCAATACAGCAGGTTATAAAATTGAAAAAGTGATGGAAAAATGTTGAAACACACACAGATGCATCACTCTGCCAAAAATCAGCCCATTTGCAACAAAAATGAAGAAAAAGTCAAAAAGCACAAAAATGCGCCTAAGTGTGATTGAGGGTTAAGAACTTGCATTGTCCTGTCCTGTTACTTTGGCTAGATTTTGCTAGTCACCGAGGTAAGTTTGAATTCTTAACTTGCCTCTCAACTCTGAAAAAGTGGTTGAAAGTTGAGAAATGTCATGAGTCACTTTCTTGCTGTCACAAGTTTAAGAGCATGGCAAAAGTTTCAGCAACTGAACCAGTGCATTGCCAGATCCAAATTCAACAATAACATAAAAACAAAACATTCAGTTTGGAAATGACTTCTGTTTTCAAAGTTTTGCCATACTGACTTAAAAATGCAACCACTTCATCTTCAGTTTAATTATTTGTTTTTATTATTGTTGTTTCATTATTTAAACAAAATTGGAATTGGGTATTTTTATGCCTCGCTTTTCCAAAATGTCAGTCAATACTGATTCAGATCTAGCCTTACTCTTCTGGCTAGCTCACCAACATTTATGTAGCACATGTATAGTAATAGAATAGTATTATGCTAGTAATGTGTAATAGGCAATAGTAACGGGTAATAGGCTAGTTATCAGAAACTACTCAGGGAGAGAGTAGGCAGTGAAGTTAAGGGTGAAGTATAGTTCTGCGTCGACTCAACGTGCACTGCCACTGTCGCCTTGTCGCCGTCGTTTTTGATTTATAGATCTGCTCTGAGGTCTGTGCACCACGAAGTAATTCACCGCCAAAACGCTAGGGGGCTACGATATATGTCCGTTCATATAAACGGTCTATGCGTATGACCTGCAGACGTATAATCTCTGAAAAGTTCCATCTCCCACACAATAAAAGCACAGAACAGACTCATTAGTACAATATCCCTCTGTCACAGAAAGAACACATATCTTCCACTGAGTCGTGTCCATTTTAAGTCCGACAGAAGCTGAACTGCGTCAGGGCACAATAGCGATCTGGTTTTTGAGCGCTTAGTTTATGCAAGTTAGCCACACGGTTTTAAGTTTTGTTTCTGTAAAACGCAAACACATATGTGCAAAGCTGCATCAAACACATTATTTCTCAATATATACAGAAAGAAAGGAAATAGAGTACAGGAAATGTCTGTAGTGCAGCAGTAGGGAGGACCAATCACAGTCCTTATCGTCTGCGTCGCTTCCCCTGCTGTCTGCGTCATTTCGACGCGTAGTTAGAAAATGTCAGGGAGGTGCAGGTCGGTCAGTGCAGAGGCTCTGCGTAGGGGGTATGCGTCGATGCAGACGATTTGACGCTGGACTGTAAACTGGCCTTTAGTTTTGTGTTTAGTTTGTGTTGGGTGGACTGTGGCTGTGAGTTTGACAAAAGCTCTAATGAATACCATGTACATGCAAAAAACTACATCACTGGTCCAAGTGCTAGTGAACTGTAATGATACTGTGTGCACAGTTCAGTTTATGGCACTAATTGTCAGGGAAAATAAGTGTTGACCTAACAACTGGAAAATACATTATTAATCATAGTCACAGCATTCATCATAATTCATAGGAAATCCTGCAGTTAGAATATCATGAAAAAGTTTTTGTCCCTTATTTTAGAAAGTCAAATCTTTATTTCTTGATATTTTGATGATCATGACATACACCAAACAGAGGCCTAGAGTCTTCTCTCAACAGGATTTTCAACTCACCTCCGAGAGCTTCTTTCATCAGATCCTGGGAGAGGATGGTCAGTCCTTGTGGACCATGTTCTCCACCTCTGTTGTCGATGTGGCTGCTCATATCTGTGGTCATGAGGCTGAAGGAGTCCAGTCAAGCCTGATGTTTATTGACAGGCCAAGCTTGAGCACTTGCAGAGGCAAAAGTCAGGGCTGGGAGGGGTTCAGGGAGGTCATGAAAGAGGACTATCGGTCGGCCTCAAAAAAAAATTCTGGGAAACCCTCTGATGCCATAGGAGGGGAAAGCAATGCTTCACTAACACACGGTATAAACTAGGGTTATACCGATACAATACTGGTATCAGATATCGGCACTGGCACTGAAAAAAATGCTTTCCAAGATATCGTTCCAGCCAATATTCCCTTTGCTCTATAAATTGGTGTAATAAGACGATTTACTGAAAAAAATCTCACAATATTGCATTTGTATTTTTACAAGGCTGTTCTAGAGTTACAAAGCACATTTGGATATTTGTTTTACTTAATGGAGTTTGTGTTTAAAATAAAATACATGCTATTTTCAGTCTTAGTTCAGTATTGGCAGATACTTAAGCTAAAGTATTGACATGGAACTTGAAAAAGCTGGATCGGTGCATCCATATTCACATTCACACTGTAGGCAGAGGGCTGTTGACCTTGACTGGGAATGGTGGAACGAATACTTTGAGGATCTTCTCAATCCCACTGTCATGTCTTCTGAAGAGGAAGTAGAGTCTTATGCTGCCTTTAGACCGTGGCATCAAAAACACCCTGGATGCCTCTATTTGGATGCCTTTGCATTTGAGTTCAGATGCCTCCAAGAGGGAGAAAAATACCTGACACGTGTCCAAGGCGTCCACTGTGGTCTGTGAGTGCCTTGTTTTTATCAAGACTGACTTTAGTGTCCTTTGGTTCTGGTTCAGTCCTGCTCCGGTCTGAACGGACCATGAGGGCCTGTCTATGCTACACCTGTATTTTGGAATATCTTTTAGAATGAAGTGAATGAGGATGAACACTACCCGCACTAGGCTCATGCATGACGCAGCAAGTGTGGTTAGGCCTTAAGGACACAGACGGTGATCCATGTTAAGTATCTTAAGTCTCTAGATTATGTGGGCTGTTTTGACTGACACTTCTCTGTAACATCACATAATGGTTGGGGACAGTACCTCTGGACTGGCAGACCTGGGTGGTGGTCCCTCTGTTTAAGAAGGGGGACTGGAAGGTGTGTTTCACAGAGGAATCACACTTCTCAACCTCTCCAGTAACATCTATTCCACTGACTGAAGAGGAGAGACCGACCAAGAGTCAAACCTCGGATTCAGGTGGAACAGTGTGGTTTTCAGTTCAGTCATGGAACAGTGGAGTCAGCTCTATGTACCCCCATCGAGTGTTCAAGGGTTCACAGGAGTTTTCCCAACCAGTCCACATATGTAGATCTGGAGAAGGCATTTGACCACGTTTTTGTAGTGCCTTTTGGGCGGGTTCCCCTGAGAGTATGGGGTCTGGGGCCTTTGATATGGGCTGTCTGACCTCTGTATGGCCAGAGCAGGAGCTGTGTTCACATTGCCGGCAGCAAGTCAGACCTGTTCTCAGTGCATGCTGGACTCCACCAGGGCTGCCCTTTGTCACTGCTTCTATTCATTGTTTTAATAGACAGAATTGTTAGGTACAGTCAGAGGCTATAGTGGGTCCAGTTTGGGGACTGCAGGATCTAATCTCGGCTGTTTACAGATGATAGCTTCATTGAAGCAGGTATAAAGCAGCTGGGGGTGAAAATCAGCTCCTCCAAATCCAATCACATGGTTCCTGAGTGGACAAAGGTGGCAGAGTTCTGCCTCAATTATCTCAGGGTCTTGTTCACAAGTGTGGGAAGGATGGAATGCGACATTGACAGGCAGATCTGGTGTTGTGAAGATGGAGCTGGAAAAGCAGATGATAGACTTTGGCTTATAATGAACATGATCATGAAATAATGATATGCATGTGTAATAGGCTATGATTAAGAAGAATCTGGGTTAGCCTCACTTGGCATCACGTATCAACAGATTTTCAAACAGCAAGTTTTGATATCAATATCACGACTGAAGTTCCTGAATCTGTATCCATCTGAAGAATTCCCCTTGAGATAGACCTGTATAAAAGACCTGCATGGTGTAGTCTCACCCTCCTCTCTGTGTGAATGAGTTCTGTGTAGCTCTGTTTTAATGAAGTCAAATGAATCCTTTATTATTCTGGACGGTTTTATGGACTTGGAAAAATACCGAGCACTGTATTTTATCATCATGTTTACAGCTTATGTCCTCATCCTCTGCAGTAACTGCACTATTATCTGTCTCATTTGGATCCACAAAGACCTGCATGAACCAATGTACTTCTTCATTGCTGCTTTGTTACTGAACTCTGTTCTTTTCACCACGGCTCTTTACCCCAAAATACTGACAGATATTTTATCTGAGAAGCAGGTTGTTTCTTATTCCACTTGTCTTTTCCAGTGGTTCACATTTTATGCGATTGGAGGTGCTGAATTCTGGTTACTGATGATGATGGCCTATGATAGATATATGGCTATTTGTAAACCTCTGCAATATCCAACTGTAATGAACAAATCCAAGGTGAATATGTTGTTAGCAGTAGCTTGGATTGTACCAGCTTCTCAACTTGCAGTAGCTGTTACGGCTGCAAGTCAAAGAAAACTTTGCTATTTTATTTTCCGGGGCATCATTTGTAACAGTATGATTCATAAACTTCACTGTGTTCAATCAGTTGAATTAAACATATGGGGCTTATTTGGCTTGATAAATGTCACTTTTGTCCCATTAATCTTTAACTGTTTTACTTATACCAGGATATTTATAATTACCACCAAAAGAGGCCCAGAGGTGAGGAGGAAAGCACTGCAGACTTGTTTGCCTCACATAGTGGTTTTATTAAACTTTTGTCTGCTGGGGACATTTGATACATTATTGGTTCGATTCAACATTGAATTTCCCAGAATAGTGAGTTTTTTCATGAGTTTTCAGCTCATTTTGTATCAGCCTCTCTTTAATCCGATCATCTATGGACTAAAAATGAAAAAAATATCAACTCATTTGAAAAGACTGTACTGTAACCGATACGATTCAAATTAACAGGAAGACAACCACACAAAATTCAAGGTTTTGATTTATTATTGGATGGCCTAGAAGTGGAATTTACATTGAAAAATGAATACTGTTTCAATGGTTATGTTATGGTGTACAATTCCTCTTTTGTCAAATATTTGAACCACAGCCAACACATTTCGATGTAAGCTTAGTACATTTTGGGGGTCTGTTGTATCATGAATATCAATATAATTAAAAACAAATAATAAAAAAAGAAGAAATAGCTTTAATTAAATATAGTCCTAAAAAAATTTAAGGAACACTGAAACCACATCAGATCTCAGTGTGGGAAAAAATATGGACAGGGCAATATCTTCAGAACAAAAAGATGCCACTTCTTTTAATGGAAATTAGCAATAGGTGCAATAGGGAAGCAACAATGAGCCAATCCCTCAAACAGGGCTGTTTTGTATGTGGAAGTCATTTCTCCCTCTTTGACTTTTGTGTTGCTTTCCCACTAGTGCTGCTTTGGCTAGTGATTATCACTATTGGGAGTATGAGGCTACTCCTTAACCCTAAAGAAGTTACACAGATTGTCCAAGATTGTCCATTCTCCAGGATGGCACATCTGGATGTATCATTACAAGGAGATTTAATGTGTCTCCCAGCACAATCTCCAAGACGTGGATGAGATTAAAGGAGACAGGGCAGTTACTCTAGGAGAGCTGGTCAGGGCCGTAGAAGGTCCTCAACTCATCAGCGGGACCTACAGTATATCTACTCCTTTGTGCAAGGAGGAACAGGTAGAGCACTGCCCTTGCCCTACAGAATGACCTTCAGCAGGCCACTGGTGTGAATGTCTCTGCCCAAAGAATCAGAAACAGACTTCTTGAGAGTGGCTTGAGAGTGCCACGTCCTGTAGTCGGCCCTGTGCTCACTGCCCAGCACCTTGAAGCTCCATTGCTAAACCACACCAGAATTGCCAAGTCTGCCACTGGTGCCCTGTGCTTTTCACAGATGAGAGATGAGAGATTGAGACATTTCTTTAGGAGCATAAGAATTTCCACTTTGGCTCTTTGGCCTTGAGTTCTGTTTGTGAACTTCAGCTCTGTGTTCAAATCCCCCCTGCTCTGCTCATATACTGCTATCATTTAAAATCATCATTTTGGTTTTACAATCATCCTGGTGTAAATAATGAAATGCATGTGTAATAGATTTAGATTAAATATCAAAAACAAGTATAATATGATTCTTAAAGTCTCTGGGTTAGTATCTGATGGGTTCAGGTATCAATACTCAATCCACAACTTTTGATATCAATATCGGGACTGAAGTCCTTGAATCAATATCCATCTGAGCAATTCCCATTGAGATTGTCCTGTATAAAAGTCCTGCACGGTGCAGACTCATCCTCCTCTCTGTGTCAATGACTTCCATGTAACTCTGTTTTAATGGAGCCAAATGAAACTTTTATTATTCTGGATGGTTTTATGGACTTGGAGAAATACCGAGCACTGTATTTTATCATCATGTTTACAGCTTATGTCCTCATCCTCTGCAGTAACTGCACTATTATCTGTCTCATTTGGATCCACAAAGACCTGCATGAACCAATGTACTTCTTCATTGCTGCTTTGTTACTTAACTCTGTTCTTTTCACCACAGCTCTTTACCCCAAAATACTAACAGATATTTTATCTGAGAAGCAGGTTGTCTCTTATTCCACTTGTCTTTTCCAGTGGTTCATGTTTTATGCGATTGGAGGTGCTGAATTCTGGTTACTGATGATGATGGCCTATGATAGATATATGGCTATTTGTAAACCTCTGCAATATCCAACTGTAATGAACAAATCCAAGGTGAATGTGTTGTTAGCAGTAGCTTGGATTGTACCAGCGTGTCAAGTTGCAATAACAATCACAGCCGCAAGTCAAAGAAAACTTTGTACTTTCATTTTCCGGGGCATCCTTTGCAATAGTACAGTTTACAAACTTCACTGTGTTCAATCAGCTGCATTACACATATGGGGAATATTTGTTTTGCTAAATTTCACTTTTGTCCCTTTGTTCTTTAACTGTTTTACTTATTCCAGGATATTTATAATTACCACCAAAAGAGGCCCGGAGGTGAGGAGGAAAGCACTGCAGACGTGTTTGCCTCACATAGTGGTTTTATTAAACTGTTGTTGGTTGGGAACATTTGATGTACTATTGGCTCGATTAGACGCAGAATTACCCAAAATGGTTCGTGTTATCATGAGTTTTCAACTCATTTTGTATCACCCACTCTTTAATCCCATCATCTATGGACTAAAAATGAAGAAAATATCAACACACTTGAAGAGACTGTTCTGTGCTGGCAAAAACAAGATGGTTCTCATGTAAAACAATAAATATAAACTTCACTAAACATTAAACTGTAGACATGCTTGAGAAGGATTCTTTATTTCCAAAGGCATGATTTCACAATGATTTGCTGAAGATTTGAAGGAGCCACATTGTGATGATTTGGAAGGAAAAAAATTACAATATTAAGTACATATGCAGCAGAAATACTAATAATAAATAATAATAACCACTTGTAAGTTGTTTATTGTCTTGTAAACACTTCTGAACTGAGCTGTAACCTTACACATGTGCATCTATGTACCTGTATTCCACATTTGTGGTCCTTACACCGTGGTAAGAAGCTGAGACCCAGAACATGCACAGTTCTCTGATGCTAAGTTTTTAACACTGGAGTGTTAAAGATTGCATGTGCTATTAATGTTAAATATAGATAGGTGCAAGGGGAAAGATATTGTTAATTAATTTGCAGACTCTGTGGATCTAAACACTAACAAAAATCACCAGTTTAATAATTAATTCATTTGTAAATGTTCCTTTTTTTAAATTGTTGTATATACACACAAAAAAATCAACACGAAAAATCTGCTCCCCCCGTGAAAGCTAAGTGTTATATAACCAGTAATGCCTTTTGTTCTTGTTGCTACAAATACTAAGAATAACAATAAAGACAAAGAGTCTAAATATACGACTAACAACTGCCACTAGTTAAGAGACATAAAAGAGCGTTCAGTCCAAGAGCATTGCACTGAATTTTGAACATGATAGTTGCATTCTAATCTGCACTGAAAGACCACTCCCAGAGAGCTTGAAACATGTGGTCTCGGAGCTGTTCCACTCACACTCTGGTGTGGGACAAGTGCACTTTGACCATGGCCGACCTCAAGCCGGCCTACACAGTCCGCAGCACTAGTAACAGTGCTCACCAAAGACATGCATGTGCATATTCACATGTCTGCCTGTCCACTTGAAGTACAGAAATAAGTCACATGCTTCGTTCAAGCTGGCTCATGTTAACCTTATCAGAGATTATCCAGAGATAGGTCCAGGACATACGTGTTTTCAGATCGTTCATGTGTAGGTCATACATGTGCAGATCTGCACACAATCGTACATGTTCAGGTCATACCTGTGCAGATTTAGCACAGCTCTTTATTTAACAGCAGTCATATCATGTACAATCACTTTACTTATGTCAGCTAGAGGTCTGCATGGGACAGAATTTTCAGTCCAGCTCCCGCAAAGAATTTCAGGAACAATTTCCTCAGACAGCTCCTCTTTGACAATAAATAATTTTATTAATCCAAATGTAAGACTAAAAAGAAAGCATCTTCTCATTATTTCTTTTAAACTCCCACATAAGTGGAGAGTAGATTAATGCCGATAAATGTTTGATATTAGCAAAACAGTGTGGCGCCAGCTAGTGGCTGTTCCAGTCATAGCATTGAGCTCCGGGGGATGACGTCATACAGACTCATCACGCACTAGGAAACTGAGGGCATGACCATTGTAGCTACCCTGGTTTTCTTCGCAAAAAAGGACTTCATGCTCTATACTGATGATCATGTGTGCCAGTACTTATTCTCAATAATCTTCGACTACATCAACACATTCAACATGGTAGTTAAGTAGCATTTCTATAAAAAAAGATGTCTTTTTCTTTCCACCTTTTTCTGTGTTTCTCTCTATCATTTTTCTCCCTTTCATGGCTACTATTTCTCACTCTGTTTACTTCCCGGCAAGGTAAAAGGTCACATAACTCAAAAGTAAATAGTTTTACAAATAAAATATAAAATTAATAACAGTGGTGTTCTGACACATCTTAATATTTGAACAAATAAAATCATTTTCTGACTTGTTACCATGAAAACAAATATACTGACATTATGGTCAGCTACAGCCATTTTGACAGTAATCGGCAGACTGGCTGACTGTTGTGCACCAGGTACAGCGGCAATGGGGAGCAGCGGTACCTCATGTTTAAAAATGTCCTGAGGATGTGCAGATCTTGAACTGCACGCTCAGAGAGGTCCTGTGTTCCCTGTGTTCATGTAGCAACCTACATTCATTATTTTAGGCTATTAAACTGCAATTAGCCTAGTGTGATAAATGTTACAGTTGAACTAGATCCAAACCAGACTCCTGAACCAGCGGGTGCAGCTCTGGTTTAGGCTGGGCTCAGAAGAGTGGGGAGTGGGGTTAGGCGTATCTGCCCGAGAAGCACTATCCCCGGGAACAACCAAGTGCACGGAGGACGAACCCCTCCGAACAACATATAACGAACGCGAATGGATTCAAGCTTCTGTCCGGATGCTTTGCACCACCTCAGAACCAGCCGTAGTCCTTGAGCATGGAGAACTAGTGCACGCCACCTGGACCTGTGAACCACAGCACATTCTCGCTTTCCCTGCAAGGAACCGGTGTACAGAGGACGGCACGGAACCACTTGGACCCCGTCCATTGCGCACTGGTCTTGCTCGCCTACATCTGGAACTAGGACATGGATGACAGAGCCTTTGGACCTATCTGACCAACCTGTGCGGAGGACGGCACAAGACCAAGGACCAGACCCCCAGGCCCGTCCAGACCGGAAGAGCTACTGGTACGGTGAGAGCTCCTGTGTCTTTATCGCTGTTGGCTGCTGCTTTTACCTGAACTCAGTGCTTCTGCTCCAGGCTGATGTACGGTGAGTTACATACT